TTGTACAGCTTGAGAAAAAATGGTTCTTTAAATGTCTTAATTTAAATTTGCCTCATCTATACAAAACATGTTGGTATTTTTTAAATTCCAGTGAAATATATTTATGTTTGTGGTTGTAATGTGACAAAATATGGAAAAGTTCAAGGGGTATGAATACTTTTGCAAACCACTGTACCTACATTTACTGCCACTGTGTATGTAAATCTATGAAATACATGAAAGTGTTTACTACTTTTTCTGTGAATTATAAAATGGGCAGTGACATAATGATCCCTGTGCTGCAAACTGTGAAAATGAAAATAAGATGTGCCCAACAGAAGTAGTCCAAAAGGGATTTTTCCCCTCAGTAAGCTTATTTGGTTCGAGAGCATCTTGGCTGTACTATTTTTGTTCCAAATCCTAAATCGAAACTGCTAATGCATTGGGAGAGAAAAAAAACTAGACTCAATGACCTTCAATTAGTTTTACCCACAAATTCTATTCATAAAGAGGCAGACTGCCATCGAGTGGGAGCAGGCTGTGATTACATGCCTTTCTGATAAGAGCACAAAATTTTAAATAACTACAAAACACAAGATAAGCACACTTTCCAATTTGATCAATATTAAAACCTAATAAAAACATTCCAAAGACTTTATAAAAGGACGTTAGCTGTTTGTAAAGAGTAGAAGAGTACATATGTGTTAATATACCTTTTTTAACGTACAAAGACTGCCTTCAAAGAATCCTCCACCATTCCCTTTTTAATCCTGGAAAGTATCACCTTTTGCAACCTCCTTGTTTTCTTTTTAAAATATATATTCTGCATTAATAGTACACACTAGTTCAGTACCTGAAACGAGTTCCTGCGTAGGAGGAAAAAAAGACCAATTTAAGATGTTTCTATGCTGTTACATTTCAGTGTGTTTCTGTGTCAACATTTATAGTCACTGACATAACTATATTTTGTCAAAACTCACACTTTTTTACGCAACAAATTACTCCAGTATTATTACTCCTCAGCTAATGTGGCGACAAAGAGGTGAAAACCCCCTTTAAAGGGTGTATGAGGCGAAACAAAGCCAAATCACAATGTACAGTGCTGTCTTTGTAACTGATCCACTCCCATGAATCAGCGAAATAATTCCCCTGGTTGAATGCCCTCTTCCACTAACAATCCAGGGACAAGCACAGATTATTCTGTCTCTCAAAAAACTATGAATATATATATATATATAAGTATTATAATGTATGTATGTCTACATAGAACCATGCCTTCTAAGTCAAAGAAGCTTGACTAAAATTACCACAGAGGGCTACTGAATACTTCATGAGAAAAACGAATGCGTTAAATATTCAATTTTATCTATTTACGCAATGATTCATCTGAATATATATAGTATGTATGGTGTGTGTGTGTGTGTTTAGTTTTTTCCCCTACATTGTGATGTTTGGCATGGTTTTAGTATGAGGCATTATTAGAAAAGCACCCAACAGGGGATGCCCAAGAGCCCTTTACCACACCGAGACTCCTTTTTCCTGACTTACTAGATTTCTGCTTAGCTGTGGCCTTGTGCACCTGCTAACATCGTACTGTAAAAGGCAGATACCCTAAAAAGTCCAGGACAAAGGTGAAAGAGGGCGTTTTTTGCCAGGGATGGAAAAGAACACGAGAACAGAACCAGCTAAATTGGGCTGACAAAATTTTCAAGTAATTCCTTGAGCGTTTGTGCGTAAAAGTCATGTCTTTTATGACCTATTTTAAAAAAAAGTGTGAATTGACGTGTCTACATGAGTGTCCTCATCAGCCCTATCACACGGTTCTGTTCTCTTGCTGATTGTTTGCCTCCATCCTCGGTTGCTGCTCCGCCCTCTTCCCACCGTAACTCGACAGTGCTGGGCCTTGGCGCGCTCCCACGAAACCCTCTCGCACTCTTTGGTCACTGAACGGCGAAGGCTGATTAAACGGAGATCCTGACATGAGAACTTGCAATGAGGTACACTGCCATAACTTAAGAGCCTCAATATCCAGGGTCTGCCACCATTCAGCTTAAAAGCGATGCTCAGCCCTGAGTAATTGAGAACTGGGAGGGTCAGCTAACATGGAGGAAACATCCAGCATGACAGAGATACACGTTTGTATGCAAACAACTGTTTCATTGTTTTATCATTGTAGCTAGAGTTGTTCTAGCAGAACAGCCATCTTAAAGTGTATCTTACCCCCCCCCCC